CACGTCTTTATATTGTTCCCTATGAATAATTATTTCATTACAACTTAACTGATAACATTTTTATCCGTAAGGTCCGATGTAATCACTATTGTTTTTTGTATATTTTTGCAATATCCAGAACTTCCACATTCGTAACAATGATGTTTCCATGATGTTTCCATAAATTTGACATAAGCATGAATTCAGAAAAAGATATTAAACTTTTGCTTTCTCTTAGATATTTTTTCTTTAAAACGAATATATAATAAATGTTTACATTGTTAAAATTTAAATAAATGGCTTAGCATTATTATCAATTCACTAAATTAATATAATTTATTTCAACTATTTATTTATTTTTTAATTTCCAATAAAGTTAAGAATTAAATACAGAATCGAATGCAAAAAAAAACCCCTGGATGTAAGCTTTAACAGATTAATTTTAATATGAAAAAAAAATTTTGATCCAGAATAATAAATGAATTACAATTGATAATTCACATTAATTAATAATTCCTTTATTCAATTAAATTTACAATCATTGAAAAAACTCTACTCTCTTTTAGAATTTCTAATAAAATAAAATGGAAAAGCAGATTATAAATGAGGTTGAGCCAATAGAAACCAAGCAAATCATTCCTTTATTCAATTAAATTTTACAATTAACATGCTAATTGAAAAAACTCTACTCTCTTTTAGATTTTTTGATAAAATAAAGTGGATGTATAAAGTACATGTAAAAGAAATCATTGAAATCACTGAAAAACACTCTACGCATGAAATGAAATCGGAAAATAAAAAAATGGTATCATGGTTAGAATAGATAAGTAGAAATTCTAAAGGCGCAGTAGTAGTATTAAAGAATCACGATACTTGTTATACGAATTGAATATTCTAGTATTTGATCTCAGAGGATATTGAAGGAATAAAAGATGTCTAGACGAAAAAAAGGAGGTGTATATTAAGGAGGGGAGAGAGTAAAAAAAGTGTGAAAAAAAAAAACTTAATGAAAATGACGCATGCGATGAATGAAGTACGATATGACAAAAAACAAAAATTGAACGAAAAGTCGAAATAACTTACCAGCATGTAATAAGAAACCTGAAATTCAAGAACCGCTTTGGAAAAATGTATTACAATTTACTTTTTCCTCGATTTAATGTTAAATGCTTTGAAAATAGAAAATTTTTTATATAAACTAATTAAAACTATCAATTATGAATAAAATTATTGAAAATCTAAAAAAAAATAAGAACAAAAAAAAAGAAAATATAAATAAGAAATAATTTTAATATGAAAACCGAGAATACTACAAAAAAAAAATTCATTGCTGAATATTTAGTGAATATACATATAATAATACATTTAATTTTTTCTAAATATTGATCAATAAAATTAACAATTCAATTAATAAATCAAATTAAAAGTTGGTCTATTGAATTAGAAAATTTTATACAGTAATTTTTTATATAAAAGTTGAGTTTTTTTCTCATCAAATTTCATAATCGAATCAATCATGCAGAGTAGTAAACCCAAAAGAACATTAAAAAAAAGTACTGTACTTTAATGTGAAACCCATTAAAATCAATGATAATTGTAGCATTGTTCAAGTCTCTTATAGTAGTTACTTGTTTTATCTCTTTATCTAGCATAAAGAAGTTAATACGTATCAAGATTTTTTAGAATTATACAATACAACTAACAAATATAAGCCTTCAACAAATCTTAAACATAATAGTAAAATTAAAGAATTTCACGATCACGATCATGGATATGATAAAATAGAAGTATATAAAGAAGAAATAACAGAAAAAGGACATGATGCACCAGTAACTAAAGCTAAAATGCCACTTCGATATTCTTATTTTGATGAAGAGAGGACGATTTTTTATTTAGTAGATTATTTTTCCTGTCATTATGTGATATCTAAACAAATAGATAAACACAAAATGAATGAATTTATTAATTATAATACTCAATGGGTGAAACTTGAAAATTTATCAAACTCTAATAATTAGCTTTGGGATAGATTTAAGTTTTATTAAAAGATCAAATTAAGGTAAGTTAGAAATCAGCTTTTTTTTTATAGTTAAGTTAGAGTTTAGGATTAGAGTTATATAATTTCAGGCAATTAAAAACCAACAACAAAGGGCCAACAAAAACTCACTTATGCAAAGATATTTCAGAGAACAATAACAATTTTCTTGATTTTTTTTAAAAAATTAATGTTAACTCCAAATTATTATTTTGAACGATTGCAAACTATAATGCTAATTAAATTTTCTAAATATTTAAATCAAATATGTTAACAAAAATTTGTCTTGGCATTTATATGTCATTAACTGAAGTAGATGCAACTAATGCTTTTTTTTTTTAGAATTTATTTTACCAAAAATCTAAAAAAGAGAGGGTAGCATAGGACCCGAGCTATATATAGATGAGTAACAATTTGCTTTTGCTTATTTTTATTATTTTTTCTGTAGATCTTTTCTGTTTTTAGTAATATATTAAGATTTTTTAAAAACCTTAGGTGTTTATAGATTGCTCGGGGTCCTGGTAGCATCAAAGTTATTATTTGAAAGGTCCAAATAAGTTAATTTTAATGAAAAAGATCTGATTTAAATACTTTTAAAAACTTAACAATTCTTTTAATCGATTATGTATGGATCTTTTTTGGAGCCCATTCCCTCCAGAATTCTTATGATTTTTGTACGATTAACCTTCTTACTAGTCTTCCTTTTTTGAACCTGCTTTTTGCTTTTGTCTTTTGATGCTTGATTTTCTTTACATTAAGAGGAGGTTGTTCATAATGATCTTTATTGTAAATGGTAACAATTCAGTTCTTTTTGCAAACGTTAAGAATATTTTATGGATTATATCTTCGAAGGATGGTCATAAATTCTTGAATGTTATCCGATTAGTATCTAAATAATAAATCATTAATCAGATCGATGGTGATAGTAATATCGCTCAAAAGCTCCTCCATATAGGATACATGCTCATGATTCTTAACCATGATAAAAAGATGTTGATATTGTTGTAAGTCATGTTTGTTCTTAAATTCTTCGCGAAGTTGTATTCAGAATTCAAAAAAGTCTCGCTTGTAATATTCAAAGAATATTGGATGCTGTTGTTCTTACTTAGCATATTAAACTCATCAAAATTACAAACATTTGGGCAAAGCTTTTTCACAAAATGTTCAAAAGCGTAGTCTTCTTTTACATTCTTTATCATATCTGAGAATTCAACTTTCTTATTAACATAGACTAAAACAAGACTATTTTGTTTCATTCTGATTTTGAATTTTTGTTTGATACTTAAAAGTAGAGTAGTTGAGAGAGTTTAAATATTAGGCAAGCAAGGCTTCGCATCACTAATGAAGTCTATTTATAGTTAATTTAAGGAAATTACTGACTATCTTTTATCCGAGCAGTTATTAGTTGGTTTCATATGTTACTACACAACTATAATAATTTGTAGAATTCTAATTGGATTTGTTATATATTTATGTGAAATTTATTTTAATTGTATATTAATCGTCATTCAGCCAAAAAAAATATTTTTAGAATTTATTAATGACGCGTAAGACAAAAGCCAAATTGGAATTCTTCGAAAGTTTTTATAATTAAACAATACTTTCTATCTTTCTATCAAAATGATTTAAAATAAGAAACAATGAAGTGACACACGTTATATTCGATTAGAAATATAAAAGTAACCAATCATGACACTCCCTACATATACAGTAATTTCTTTGTTTAATATGCGGTTAATTAAAATTCTTAAAACAAGAGCAATTTTGAACAAAAAATTTTTGGCTTTCTGAGTGGTTAATTTATTAAATTCATTGCTCATACGGCATTTATTTTTTCATCAAAAATTTGTTACAAATGTAAATTGTCTTTAAACTATTTTTGG